GTGGTTAGGACATGTGCTGTTTTACGCTTTAGGAGTAGGCTGGAAAAAATGCTAGGGGCGGCCAAAACAAATCATGGCGCAAATCGATGAAGTCATTGAAAATTGGATTGGTTCATGTTGGTAGACGTAGACTACCTAGCCGGGGTCCTTTAGATAATATTAATCGATGGTAAAATACCTTGAATGAAATGTCTCAAATTCATTTTCAGTTGTGCAGGTGCATCCATGCTAATTCTAATCTTCTGAATCCCTCGTCATCTCTCTCTTTCTAAATTTATTTCACTGAATTATACTTCTTTAATAAGTTCATTGAACCCCAATCTTTCCAATCACCGAGTAAACGTCTACTACCCTTACCTTTATAGGATTTGGATTGACAGATGCATCTCTTGGTAACTTCAAATGATGTATGTACGCAAGAAGTTCTACGTTTCTGCTAAATGAAAAATCAGAAACATCACAAATCACTGTGTGAAGGAATGCTAATGGCAAAAAGTGTTTTCCTTATACAAAATCTCGCATCCTACAGAACGAAGAACAGATGAACAGATGAAATATTAACGTACCTAGATAAGACACATTTTACCAGCAGTATATGTGGTAACACAATATTTTTCCCTACATTTTTCACCAAACGCTGCATTTTGATTTTGGCTACTTGTAAATTATAAGTAGTACGCATTTCATTACAGTATTTTTAGTTTTGCTCGAAACATGATACGTGATCAATAGTTTGTAAATTGATTTGAATGTATTGACTATACTGTCTTACTTTATTTACGTTGAAAGAATTATTTGTTTTCCAAAAGCATTCATCGACCATTTTAAAGTATGTACGGGAAATGGTCAATGGTGACATTCAGAACTCGAAATTAAACTTTCTTGGTATTCCCAAACTGAAATTAACTGCATCCCAGGTTGAATGTTTATTCTGGAATTCGTATACCGAGACGATCACTAACAACGGACGAGTTACAGAGGCTATAACTATGAGTTGCTGTAAATCAAATTGAGTCATTTAAAGTGAAAAATAGATTTCTAGGCATTTGTAGACATCAGAACAAGTTTCAGTCTCTTTTTCCATGAAGCGTCAAGTCACAGTGTATGACATCCAGATTGATAATTGAACGTACAACCAGCTGCAAGTGTGCGAAGTGTAAATCGTCGGTGATCGGATTCCAGCCATTATTTATCCTACATATGAACACTACTGAAAATAAATGTACAGGATATTAGAAGTGATTTCATTTAGAGTGTGTACGTTTAAAACTCATAACACATTTTGGGGCAGAGTTTTGGAGGTTTGTGTTTTTACACATTTGAAATCATCAATCAATCATTGTTACACCACCATTAAAAACCTGGGAGCACTGGACGGCCGTCTAGTCCTGGTATGGGACTCATCAGTGACAGTGCGCATCCACGACTCCTGCACCTCGCAGGAGTCGAATTCGGGACCTTCGTTATTGTACGCGAACGCCTAACCATCAGACCACTGGGCAGTAACTACCAAACACAAATGGGTGAGGTCGCACAAAATCCTTAGATCAATCTAGTTAGACATTAACACTGCTGGGTGCCGGCCGAGTGGTCCGATGGTTAGGCGTTCGTGCACAATACCGAAAGTCCCGGGTTCGAATCCTGCGAGGTGCAGGAGTCGTGGATGCGCACTGTCACTGATGAGTCCCATACCAGGACTAGACGGCAGTCCAGTGCTTCCAGGTTTCTAATGGTGCTCTGTCTAACAATGATTGATTGATGATTTCAAATGTGTCATAACTCAATGTTATGACGTAAACAAACGATTCAACCTCGAAGATGTTCAGACTTGGACGCCCCTATCTACATACCTATTCTAAGAAAGAGTACTTAAATATCGATCAATATCAATCATCCTAACTATTTTCATCATTCATCTCATATCAAACTTCATTCTAATCTCATCATCAGACAATTTTTTCTAAACTTTTTGTTTCTATAAAAACATATGAATAATCATGATATCATTTTCAAATTAACTATTTATATTTCTATGTACTTTGTTTCATTTTCATTCAGACAAAAATTACGTTTTTTTTCTCTTACCATAGATTAGTTTAGAATAATAAAACAACGCATTAGTTATGCAGAAATATATATATATATATATATATATCACTAAAACAATTGATAATTGAATCAGTATGTTTCCACTTGTATATTTTGTTTTAATGAATATCAATGTTATTCTTAATTATCAAATAACAGTTGATAAATTTCATGAGAATTCTACATTGGATGATTTAATCAATGATATTAATCGAAATGTAAGCGTTTTATGCTTTATGACAATGAGAATTGAAGGCTTTGTTTGTGAAAATCTCTCCATGTATATATTTACACATTTTTTGAAACCATGAATTGATCAATGTTAGACCAGCACCATTAGAAACCTGGAAGCACTGGATGATGGCCGTTTCGTCCTAGTATGAGACTCCTCAGCAGTGGGAAGACGTGACCAGTGAAGTTCAACTTGTTCGGGTGTAGGCAGTGTTTACCGAAGACTGTGAATGAGGTTGCGCAACTCCGTGAATTTGATCAAGTTAGACATCAACACCGTTGGATACCGGCTCAGTGGTCTAACGGACAATACCGAAGTTCCTGGGTTCGAATCCTGCGGGGTGCAGGAGTCGTAGATGCGCACTGCTGAGGAGTCCCATACTAGGACGAAACGGCCGTCCAGTGCTTCCAGGTTTCTAATGGTGCTGGTCTAACATTTATCGATTCATGGTTTCAAAAAATGTATAACTTAACAATCTTCACAACCCCGTAATGTATATATTTGTAATAAGTTCTTATTGATTCTTTCAGTTCGACATTTTGTTAATCTGTTTTGATTCCCTTTTTGAGATGATAATATTTGTATTTTATTATAGTTTCTGTTCTATGCTATGTTTCTTTCTGAAGTGCATTATGTTGTTTAAGTTGATAGTTAGATATGGTGACAGCCATATTGATTTTGTTTCTCTGGTGGTTAGTGCGCTTACACTGATTGGATGTGTGCAGTTTGGATTGGAAATTGAATCACTCTTCTAGAATTGGAAACACTCTGTTTGATAAGAGGGATAGAATATCACTCACTTATTGGAATACTTGAAGGAATAAAGCTGTAATTTTGTTTAGAACCGTTACTTACCCAATCACTTGTTTTGGATTTCAACTGAGCAAGATGCGTATCTAAATTTCTGGAGCAGTTATTCTTAAATCCAAACCTCAGTATTGGAACCTACAACTGATTTGTTTTGATCAAGTTGTTAACAATAACGGAGAAATGTTTAATGAAATTCATCTTGGATTTATTGGAGGCAGGCATGAACACCGTTAGAGGCTATCTCAGTGGTTTGCGGACTAAGAGTTTGCACATGAGCCTGAAAAGCCTCAGTTTCATTTTTAATGATAATATCGTGTATACCCACTGCGCACTAGTCACTACTACTAGGACCAAGCGGTCATCCAGTGCTTTCAAGTTTTTTAATGGTGATCTAAAAATGATCATCGAATCATGATTTCAATATTTTTTTGAAATTCACACTAAACTACTGATTAATTTATCCAATACACAATCTAAATTTATCTATGACAATCTCTCTAATCTTGTTTTAGTCATCAATTGGATGGAAAGCTATGAAATATGATCGTTTCATCAACATTGAACATCATAATTCATTGAACACATTTAACATTATTATTGATGATCCAGCGGGAAATTTTAAAAATACACCAATTATTTCTTATGAAAATGTTAAAATCATTCTACCGGATACATTTGATTCACGTGTCCAATGGAATGATTGTCAAACTATTGGTATCATAAGTGATGAGTCTAGATGTTGTGCAAGTTATGTAAGTGAAATGCTTATTTTGTATGTGTATGTGTGTACTGTTATGTGATGTAGTGAGTGGTGTGTGCCAAGTTTTGGAGATGTTACATTGTAGTGGTGTTGCATTCTATGAGCTGGATATGAGCTGGATAGTAGCAACCAATCAAGATCGAGGTGAACAGAACACAAGCTACAAGTCAGATGTGGAGAAATTCGAATAGTTCACTTCGTCTACCTGAAGTTTGTGCTGATGATGAAAAAAGCTTCACAACCAAAACATTTAGCTCAGAGAACAAAAATCCACCACAACATCTTAATATGCTACAGGCTGATCATGCCATGAGCTGACTATAAGCTGACTCACTGTATCATAATATCGTATATCGTACAAAACTTCAGAGAAATTTTCTGATCTCTCTATTGTATTGTCTTTGTTACAGATTTAAAAGTTCCGTCAATCAAACTAATTTTCGAAATGGTAGTCATTTACTGGTTTTAAACAAACAGAGGTTGTAACTTTCAATCTAAAATTGAGATGAACAACACAGATGCTCTGAAAACCCATAGTTTTAGATTGTGCATGTTACAGTTCATAAGAAAATCTTAATCATTATATATATTTCAACTTATCATTCATTGTTCAACGTTCAATGTGTATTTATCGATTTCAATCTGTGTTTTTGTACTTACGATGAAAAATAGCTTATCAATTTTCTACCACAAAAAGCACAGAATGTTATCTCTTTATAGATGAACACAAATTTCGATTCAATGTTTAATTGTATACACATTCTGTTCCGTTTTTCTAATACAAAGAATTGGACAGTCGATTCGTCTTTGTATGGGACTCATCAGCAGTGCTCATCTACGACTCCTAATACTCTCTCACAGGATTCGTACCCAGGAGCTTCAGCCTTGCTCATGAAAGCCTAACCTCAGAACAATTGGGCTGGAATCCAACGATGTTAATGTCTAACTTTGATTTTGCGTGACCTCACTCATTTTTATTCGGTAGTTACTGCCTACACCCGACAGGACTCCGCTTGTCACGTCTTCTCCTTAGAACTCCAAGAATCTCCTCGCCAAGATAGTCATCAATAAGCACATTTTACCATATTTTTAATTACAGTTATGAAAATTAGTGTTTTTATACATTGCGCGCTACTGATGAGTCGCATACCAGGTCGAAACAGCTGTTCAGTGCTTCCAAGCTAAGATTACAGAAAAAACACAGTTTGTTCAACAAATATCTGAACTATTGTCTTTTACCCTACTTCTGGACTTCATGCACTGCTTACATCTAACACATCTTTCTCTGATAACAATTTCTAGACAGTGGTCTACTGCATACTACTTGTTAGCCATTTTGCCTTTCACTACAAAATGTATGTGTAAATCCTCCCTCTCTCTCCTTCTCTCTACCTCTCTCTCTATACACATGTGCTATTCAAAACATCTTTGAACAAAGAAATGAGAAGACATATTTTGTGAGATAGTACCATTTGGAGCTTTCTCGTCAGTCACATACAAGCAACATGTTATTCGTGTAAATACAGTTTTGAAGATAAGGTCAAAATTTCTTATTTAGCATGATATTCACTCACTAGAACCATGGTAAACAAAGGTCAACATACAGTTGTTTTTGAACACATAAAGTTGGACTTTTCCGACCAATCAAGATAGCTTCGAGTAGTTTCAGTGTGTGTGGGTTTTGATTACATGTCACAACTCTAAAGGCTGATTTTGGGTCAATTTGATGACCACTCATCACTAGATGTATTGCAATGGACGAGGCTGGGTTTCTTGATTGATCTTGAGATGACGGGCTAGGTAGATGAATCATGGATTTGATTAACCATTTTGGAATATGTTCCCCTATCCTGTCCTTCAATCGGCGATCTGTCCTACCCAAGTAACTTTCTCCACAATTACATGTGAATCGGTAAATACAGTGGGATTTGGATTGAATCGGTCTTGGAGACTTGATTGGGGTAACTGAGATCGATTGAGTTGTTGTGATAAGCCTCAGATTAGCTGCATTGAAGGTCTTTTTTATTGTAGCTGTAGTCTGTTTGGTTGTAATTTTCATGCAATGATCACCCTTGAAAGGTAAATGTAGGTACACTGGTTTCTTGGGCACATCAGTGACTATCAGCTTCGTCGTAGTTGTGTTCTGATGACCAATAAACGTTTCGGGATATCCGTTTAATTTAAGTGTCTCAGTAATAAGCTTGAATTCGTCGTTCAAAGTATCAACAGTGCAGATTCTACTTGCTAGAGCGAATAAAGTTTTGACAACAGAATGTTTATATTGTATGGGGCAGAAACTAGTGAAGTGGAGATACTGTCCCGACCAGGTGGGTTCGCGGTGTACTTTTCGTCTGATTGATCCATCTGGACGGCGATGGAGAATCTTTGCCTGAACCTTTCGAATAAAGTGAATTTTTTTAATCTGATTGATAAATTTTAAGCCATCATTTTCTTTTCTCCATTTGTAAGTTTCTCTGTTTCGCCTCCCACATCGGTTTCTTTTGTATATTTTGATAGGCTATTGCATCCGTTGAAACAATGGCTAATCGTTTATGTATTCAGTCATATGGTCAAGCTCCATTATTAAGTGCTTTCGATGTGTTAACATGTTGTACATATTGTGGTAAAGGTTGCCATGCCGGTTATTATATTATGCCATGGAATTATTGGCTTGAACATGGTATTGTTACAGGTGGACCAAATTTAGCTTATGCTGGTTGTAAACCATACCCTTATCCTAAATGTCATCATCATGACCATAATAAAAGTGATGTCTTATATCCAGACTGTGGACAGAAACGTTATAATTTACCGGAATGTATTGAAAAATGTCAATCAACATATAGAATTAAATATAAAAAAGATAAATATTATGGTAAGTTGTCAAGAAAAATTAGTTTGTATTACGGGTTGGTTGTGAAGATTGTTAAGTTACACATTTTATTGAAACCATGAATCGATCAATGTTAGACCAGCACCATTAGAAGAAACCTGAAAGCACTGCACGACGACCGTCCTGGGGTGGTGGGACTCTTCAGTGATAGAGCGCATCCGCGACTCCCACACCCCGCAGGGTTCGAACCTGGGACCTTCGGCATTGTAGGAGAACGCCTAACCATC